AATACTGCTCAGGATCACTCCCAAACGTTAATAACTGATTGAACTTGGCTTTGCTCTTTTTCCTAGGCAATGACAGTCGCCCGAAAATTCAAGAACTACGAGCATCGTTTGTCCCCCCAACTCGGAGCCAGAAGCGGCCACGTGGCCTGGTGCCTGTCTTATGCCGCCAACGTTAATCATACCCCCGCGCTGGGGTTTTAAAGGAGGAAAACGCGTGCTCAGCTCCCGGTATTGTTAGAGTTTGGCTATTCTCATCACCGCAGTGGTTGGACACGAGTTACGAGCCGGTGTACGGTGCTCACGCAGTTCTCCTGTCCGATCCATGAGCCGCGCTTGACTGTCGACAGGCGGGTGGTTTTGATCCCACAATTACGACATCATCTTTGGGAAGGCAAGACCAAAAGAAATAGTCTCGTTTAATCCTCGCCATTTCACCGCGACAAAGAAGCTTCTGAATCAGTGGTGGCCTGCGCGAGTACACTTGGGCCAGAGGACCAGTACGCCTCGGAAAAGTCATGAACATTCCAACCCCATATCGTATTATAACCCCTTTAAACTTCACAGGGTGCAAAATAAAAGCAATGAAGAGTTGCGGTTAACAAGTGTCAAATAAAATTGTCGAATTAACAGACACAAACGAAGGAGGCAATTCCTCAGGAATACTTTCAGCCTTTCCACTCTGGTGAAGTAGGAAGGCCAGAAAAGCTGTACTATGGTGGGAATGAAGTAATAATGGCCGTCCGCAAGTGGGCAAGCCAGAGTGGAAAGGCTGGAGGGGTTGCCGCCATCTATGCGCAAAGGCGGCATCGAGACAACCGGCAAGCCGGTTGTCTGGTTGCCGTCGTCATTTATAGATGGCGGTACCTCTCCACAGTTTAGTGTCATCATTTGTTTGCTGACGGACACGACACTGGGGAAACTAGCCCTTAACAGCACCGCTGTATAAAGAAGCGCGTCTGTGTGTTTGGGGGGGGGGGGGGTTAAAAACATACTGTATTCTAAAGGTTCCTCTTCCCTGCATCTTTGGCGCAGACCAAAAAGCGTGACCCCGGAAACTACTTTGTTTGCAAAAACGCTCTTGCCAAAAAGCACGTTTTTCTCGTTCCAGACGCTCGCGCCGTTCCTCACAACGATGCACTAAGAATAATAATATGTGCCTTTCAAATACTTGGCTTTCACTGAGCTTGAGCCCCCTGCAGCGTGCCTTTTGTACCGTCGAATTCGATTTTCTCAGCAAGAAGAACTCAGAATGACCACCAGCCTACAGTGTGATGACATCACATGCATACCATGCTAAATAGTTCAGCTTTCTGGTGAAATGTGATATTCGCAACGCTAGCAATAGGTGTCCTAATTGTAAAGTTGTGCAGTATTTATAGCAGTCTCGCGATGAGATATGGCAGTCTAGAGAGATGTTAGAGCGCATGACTATTCTAGCATAGTGTTTTAAAGTGAGGGCCCAAAACAAGTGCAGGTAAAACTGAATATAACATTAGCTTCCCGAGGCAGCATGTCGCGAAGTTTCGAGCTCATGGAAGCTGATTAAATGCAATTTATACTACGATTGTAAGAATCTTTGTCTGTCCTTCGCGCTATTGATGTAAAATCATGAATTCCATTGCGTGCATCTTTACGTATCTCTTTTTGCAGGGATTTGAAAAATAACACTAATTATCTCTCTCTTTTTGAACATTTCGTGTATTTGACTTCCAATTCATCATGTCAGCACACAGTCCTTTTTAGCGTGCCCTGCAACCTGATGTTTCACACTGCCGATCAGAAAACAGAAAAACACCTTTACGCATACTCCACAGCTCGCGTAGTTTCGAGTGTCGTCCTTCTGCGTCGGTCTCAAGCGGTGATGTGAACTTTATCAAGTAAAATATATTGATCAATATAAATATATATTTAATTACTAACTGAATATTTGACAACATAGAGAGTCGACCACCCTAGAGCTATGCCCCCAAATTGTTTGAAAGGTGTTCTGCCAATATTTTCCGGCGTTTTTATCCTCGACAGGCACGTTTTAAGTTATATGGGGCGGCCTTAAATACATTTCTGATTTTGAAGCGAATTTAAATAACTATGTGTTTTGTGTTTCCCACACATATAGCTTCCCAAACATATAGAAGTTTGTTATTGCCTCTTTTATGTAATGAACATTACTTTTATGTGTCTGTGGGCTGGACAAAACAAAGTAAACAGGGTCGCACGGCGGAACTATGACGATTACGTACGCAAACCGCCAGAAAGTGTCTTATTACGTAGCTGCCATGTCGAGTAGAACGTGAAATAGTACTTCGTTTTACTTAACACACAAAAAAAAAAATCTCGAAGGACCCTTAAGCTTCGCCTTTAAAAGTGGAACGGGATAGCGTCAGCGGGCCTCGTTTGCATTGCATTCTCATGTGCCGCGCAAGCGTGCCTCGCCTGGCCTATAGTGAAAAGCCTCTGACTCGCATATAAAGGGTCGTGGGTTCGAATCCCATCTAAAATTCTTAATTTTTTTTTCTTTAAGGCTAAGGAATTTCTTTCAAAAGTGAAATCATTTGAGACATATGGCAAGCTTTAACTCGCATTACATGTCATGTTTTAATCACTCATTCCACGCGTGATGTCACGTTTCACGTAAGCATTTTGGGTTGTTTGAAATTCTTGCGCGAGGGTATGTAGCTCTGACGTCATGAACCTATCGACCAAACAGGATTTTCCAGGCACGCCACCAAAATCGACTTTTCTGCGACATGAGCTCCTTAACGCTATCGTGTTAAAATCATCAATTAGCAAGGGTGATCCTCATTTGCAAATTAAATTGTCCGGCGTCTTGTCCAGAACAAACCTCAACAGCCGGGCTATGCCGGCTTATTCTGTATAAGAAAATGTTCACCTGGGCAAGCGCTATTTTGGGCCATATTCGATCAAAGTGCGAAGTGAACAATTGCGATTACTTCTTGCTGCATGATTAGTCGCATGCGTGCGGTGCTGAGTGTAAACAATGTTTGGTTAGAACAACAGGCATTTGGATTGCCGCTCGGTGTTTCTATAAAAATAGACTGGAAGGAATTATCCTAAAACTTTTGTTACATTTTGAAAATTTCATTGCTTTTAGCTCAGTTGGGTCGTGATCATATACATATATATTTTCAAGTGTATTACGTGAACCTTATTTCATGATGTATATGGCCAGGAGGAGCTCATTTCATAATTTTATGTGCTGTAATTAATTCCTTAGTTCAAGAACACGATTTCACTTTTAATGTACTGCGATACAAAGTTGTACCAATCACGGGTATTCTACACGACCTACCACACTTCGCGACATTTTATAGAGTGTAAATAGATCAGCTTGAACTGAAGGAAGGTCAAGAAAAAACTTGAAGGAAGGATTTGAAGGAAGGACAAGAAAATACAGTATAATTCTAAATTTGAAGCTGATGTAGTTACAGGTATGTACCAGTAAGCTCAACTATTTACTCTTGTACTTAAACATTTTGATTCAGGTAAAATATATGCTACTGGTAAACAAAGGGAGGCAGAGTTGTATGAACACGACGTTAAGTACGTTAATGTAGATTTTCTTCTTCTTTTGCGTCGAAATTAAATACCCTAACTGAATTTCATACTTTTGGCACCTAAAAACAAAAGTAAATTGCACGGACGATAGAAGGAACTGTATTGTTAATCGTTTCACGGCGTAAATAGTGTATATTGCCAGAACGACGCGGAAAATATATTCTCAATTTAGCAGTTCAAACCGGTTCAAACCGGTTCGAACCGGTTTGAACCGTTATTTTTTGCTCCCCGGAACTGAACCGGAACCGAACCGAAAGCCGAGAACCCGAACCGGAACCGAACCGATAAAAATTTCGGTTCGACACCCTGGTCTGAGGCGTCTTCAGCGGCTGTTTCCGCAGTCTGGCTATCGTCTTTCTGTAGCTGGAAATTCTCGCCTGGAGTCGCTTGATAACGTCCTCGGGCCTTTTCGTGAGCTTGCGGCAAACAGGTGCAGGATGGTTTGGACCAGCTATAAAAATGGCAACAAGTCAGTGAGATTAAAAACAGTTTCAATAAGTGCGATGCGATTTAACCAGTACAAGCACCACTAACCAGTAGCATACCAGGTAGAGTGAAGCCTGAATTTTCTTCTTGTGCATTTACCATTTAAGCACTGTCAAAGCCAGTGAAACTTTTGACCACCAATTACGTTATTCTTTTACTAGTCACGTAAAATGTTCTGTACTAAATGTCTTCACGTAAAATCCTTGATAACCTTGCAAGTTCAAAAGGCTGAAATAGCATGAAAAACTCAAAACAGCCATGAAAAATTCTCTTGAAACCTCGGCTTGATATGTGTGTTCCATTTTCCCACACCTCCCCAGTCATTAGTAATAAAATGGTTAGATCGGTATGCCACACACACGAAGCAAAGACTATAGCTTATAAAGGGACCTAGAATTCTTTAAACTGATCCTTCTGGGACATATTGTATTTTCTACTGGCTATAGAGGTTCACACAAATATGTTTCAAAAAGTGGCGAACGCAAAACGGGACACTTACAGTGTTGACCTGGACCACAGTGGCCAGCGAAAAGACCAGAAGAGCTGGTTGCCTGACTTGGGTCTGGAAGAGTGCGCATATTAGTCACAGGCTGATGCTTTAAAATAACTCTATATTACCGAGTACTGCAGAGTGCATTACTGCGGAGCTGCATGGGACTGGTGAATTCTGCAGTCTGTCGGGCTCTGCCTGGTCTGGAAAGGTTTCATTATTAAACACAGAAGTGCACCATGACGAGATAACCTCTTGCCCAGCACAGCACGGCTCGCTGCGACGGAGCTGCACTGGAGTGAAGGGCCAGACGAGCTGGTTGTCTGAGTGCGACCTGGAAGAGTGCGCATATCAGGCACAGGCTGATGCTTTAAAATAACTCTATATTACCGAGTACTGCAGAGTGCATTACTGCGGAGCTGCATGGGACTGGTGAATTCTGCAGTCTGTCGGGCTCTGCCTGGTCTGGAAAGGTTTCATTATTAGACACAGAAGTGCACCATGACGAGGTAACCTCTTACCGAGCACAGCACGGCTCGCTGCGACGGAGCTGCACTGGAGTGAAGGGCCAGACGAGCTGGTTGCCTGAGTGGGACCTGGAAGAGTGCGCATATTAGGCACAGGCTGATGCTTTAAAATAACTCTATATTACCGAGTACTGCAGAGTGCATTACTGCGGAGCTGCATGGGACTGGTGAATTCTGCAGTCTTTCGGGCTCTGCCTGGTCTGGAAAGGTTTCATTATTAGACACAGAAGTGCACCATGACGAGATAACCTCTTACCAAGCACAGCACGGCTCGCTGCGACGGAGCTGCACTGGAGTGAAGGGCCAGATGAGCTGGTTGCCTGAGTGGGACTTGGAAGAATGGGCTTATTAGCCTACATAGAGAAGTTACTTATACCTTTGTGTATATGAGGGAAACACATTATTACAATCACCTATTGCAGATGCCCAGTTTATGGAAGGACGAACAATAGGCACAGCTGATCTCACTAGGGTTGTTTGTCCTGGGTCCATAAAATCTTTTGCAGTGAAGTGATCACTGCAGACGCGATAGGTGGCATAGAGTTGCGAAGCAGACTTTCCAAAAAGATCGTAGGTCAAAGGCTTGGCATAGTCGAGCCAAGCCTTTGACCTGGAATATATATTATTTTCCAATGTGTTAAATGTACACTTTGGAACAAAATGTTAGATGCCAATCTGCAACCCTCTCTTCGACATTTTGGCTCCGCTTGCAAGCGATGGGGACATATTTTTATTTGGAGGTTTGCTTCGGTTGTCTCAACGCACACAGACAAATTTGGGCTCCTGCTCCAGAGTAGTGCAAAAGTAGCTCAACTAAGAAATCATGGTTTTTGCGCGAGAGGACGAACACAAGGGAGTACAACAAGCACAAGCGCGCTTGTGCTTGTTGTCCACCCTTGTGTTTGTCCTTTCGCACAAAAAACATGATTTCTAACGTTCACCAGCTCGCTCAACAACAGGTCATTTTATAGCTAATTAGCAGCAGGTGCACATTCACATTCCTTTAGGAAAAGACAGTATCAGTAGAGAGCAATATTCACCCCACCATAAAGCAGCCCTTTTATAACTCAAATTTAGAGCCACATTAAAAAAACACGAACATTCACTCCACCATGAAGCAGCACATTTATAACCCCAATTTAGAGCCACATTAGAAACGATACATTTAAGCTATGTATGAGACAAATCAAGGGCTGCTTCTTTTCCTTAACAATTTTGTCTTATAAGATTAATTTGTCAGTTTTTATCTTCAAAGACAAAGTGGTAAGTCAGTACTAAAATTAGAATAACTGACCTGAGATCGCTTAGCCCAAATCCCCACATTACAGTCAAGGCATCCAGTCAACTTTAGCGCTTGATTTAAAAGCGCATTCTAGTAAATAATTATATTGTGAAGAAAAATAAATTATTGGGATTTTTTTATATGCTCAAATATGCAAATGGTTCCAAGGAACTATTGACAAGAAGGAGCTCACGCCAACCTACCTTGCGTCACGTGGGATTCGGAAAAATTTTGTGCCGGGTTTCTTGTGCGTTTTACCATTGTTTTCGCACCATGCGACACAGCAGTAGCTACCGTAGTAGCAACCGGAGGGCATCTGAGAAAGAAAAAATATGATAGAAACACAAATATTCGTAGCTCTTAGTACGATGCGCAGCCCATGTAACAATAATAACACACACGGGAAAAGCCGGCTGCTGTCTGAGGTTTATTTCGCAGCGTCTGTTGGACCTCTGAGCATGCAAATAACGGGTAAAACCAACGGACACGATACAGTTCGCTTTTTTCTCTTGCCCTTGTATGCGCACGCTGTGTTTTGCTCGCGACCAAGCAATAACAAAGAAATGAGAAAACGTCTTACCTTCTGAAGAAACCTGTTAGGCGCAGACAATATCCACGTTGTGCTCACATTCTGCTCGCTGTGCTCACATGTGCTCAACACAAAACGCGTTGACAGATGTCAGGCACCATGCGGTCACGCCGTCCACACACGCACGCGTCCGTCCGTCCGTCCCGCTTTAGCCACTCCAGCCGCTTTCTCAGAGCAACTGCAGGAACCGGAACTGGCCCGTACATCATGTGATCTTCTTAACGTAGTAAACAAAAACTAGTTCACCCTTTATGATACTTGCAACAATTTTAAATATAATAAAATTAAAACTTGAGTATTTATTTATAACAAACCTCACGAAATATTTTCATTCTTCGGCACACTAGCACCACTTAGCGGTCGGTGAGAAAACTAAACGCTCGGCCGCGAAACGGCTCGAGTGGCCACTCTTTCCCTTGTGTAGATTACTCTATGCTCGCACCTCGCGCCTCGAGATGCGTTTTTTTTTTTTTTGTTTTTTTTTTTTTATAGAAATAAGGCTGTAGCGCTCCTCTCGTGACGTCGCAAAGGAAGGCCATCGGGGGCGCGCGTCGAAGCGAAGGCAACGCGCGTGGATCGACCGTCGTAACCCGCTTTTCGTCGCATACGCGTGTCGTATTAGCTAAAATGAAAAGCTGCACATTGCAACGGGTCTAGAAAACATTTTATTACACGTCCAAAATATTACACCGCTAAATATTTGATGCGGAATGGCACGAGGTATGCGTAGAAGACGTCTATAGAAAAATGTGATTTTTTTTTTTTTAATAGAAAATATTAAGTGACGCAATTATTGCTGCAGGAATGCATATTTTATAGAGAAATATTTCGACAAAATGGCGAGACACGCAGTGATTGGGACAGCAATACAGATCAGTTAAAAATCAGGTAGACGAAGACAACGCGGACACGGCTCGTCAAGTGTTACTTACGATCATGTAAGCGATATTATTGCGTGCAGTCACTGAATTAAAAGTAATGAAATTTCGATCGAATGACAGTATGGGGCCGACAAATCAGCTTGTGACGCTCGTATAATCACTGAAAACAGCGATCTGATTAAATCCCGTATTATTTAATCAAAATGTATTAACTTTTCTGTGTGGCAAGGGTACTAAACTTACTATTTACAGTCAACTAATTTACTTCTCCCAATGGTCTCGAGCTGCCTAAGAGCAAAATATAACCTATTTTGTATACAATATTACTATTACCTTAATGCAGTTAAGATTCTAGTATAAACGCGGTAAAGGCGACAAAATAACATTAGTATAAATAAACACGTAAGCACATACAACGCACTTTCAATATTCACACAAACTTGCTATTTACCTTCCAGTAAAAACTAGAATATTACCACGCATATTTACAAATGTCGACGCAATAACAAACGGATAACGACGAAGAGCAAAATTCCCTTCTATCACGAAATTAAAAAAAAAATCGACTGCAGCACTTTACTTGCGTCTTACATGAACAAGAAAGCCCGTAAATAAGTTGTTCCTCACTTGTCGATCGTATCCATACGTCCCACACGAATCACGATCCATCACGAAAACATTTGAAGACAAACTTTTAGAAGTCTCTCTCTGTCGAGAAAGAGGTCATCGACCAGTGTCATCGTTGACTAGTTGCCACACGTCACTCAAACCGTAGCAGGACTTGTTTCGGAAACCACGTAAATTCCGTAGTACTATCAAGCTAACACAAAAAAGACTACCCGAAACTGAATAACGACAAAAAAAAAAATGACGGGTAGGAGGATTGAAAGAACCACACAGGGGACACACACACGAGAGCACCAGCAGCAGTGAGGGACGAGAGGCTTAACATTGTCGACCCATCTCTTGCTCGTGCGCGCTCCCTGCGGTGACGACTGGATTTTTTGGTCGGTTCCCTTCCCTTCTGAAATGTCTCAGCGCTCCTTTTCAGACAGTCAGCAGCTCACTCGCAACATAAATTTACCAGAATCGGAGCCCGTACGAGGGAAGATGTCGCATCGGAAATTCGGAGCCGGTTCATTCGAAAAGTGTGGGGAGCTGCGGGACTGCTCGTAGTCCCGCGGTTACGGGGATAATCATAAATATAAATTTGGTACTTTCAACCTTGGTAACGCGTTGTATATTACGTTTATATTATATATATAATAAATTGTACAAGACTGCGCTTTTAAAACGTGTATTAATGTCAGATAAACGTGCACGAACATTACCGCGCCGCTCGAGAGGAAACATTTTTTTTCACGCCGATATGCATCCATAGCAGAAATGTTCTCACGTAGTTGCGCCATGGCCTTCGTTCCTCCGACATTGTGACGTAACCACTCGGAGCGCTGCGGCCTTATTTTTAGAAGGTGTTGCCTCGTTGCGCATGAGCCACTGCCGATTTAAAGCAAATGACGTAGCGCGCTTTGTCAGCTTCCGCCAAGATTTCTGAAATCCCGCGGTATCAAGTTCGGCGGGGTTGGAGGCGCTTCACGGAGCGGGCGCTGCCAGAGATCTACGAGCGGAAGATGGCCAAGTCTAGCCAGATCTGCGAGCAGAATTTGAGCTCTCCAAATGGAGCGCTTTTGGAGCGCTTGAGATCTGCCTGCAGAATTCACTATTACTTGTCCCATTGAGCGCAAAAGCGTCGTATAAGCCGATAAAAATACGATTGAACGGCACGCGTTGCTCAGTGGGCGACCCTACTTCTCCCATTCATTACCTTGACGTCGTCATTGCGGGCGTCCTAGAAGACGTCCTCGACCTCTAGGAAGAGCTCACTTGTCACGTTACGTCAAAAACTAACGGCGGCGTTGTTGTGCCCAAAAGATGGCCATAAAAATACGTCATCAAGCTTCATCAGCTTGATGTCATCTAGCGTCATCATACGTCATCAAGCTTCATCAGCTTGATGTCATCTAGCGTCATCATACGTCATCAAGCTTCATCAGCTTGATGTCATCTAGCGTCATCATACGTCATCAAGCTTCATCAGCTTGATGTCATCTAGCGTCATCATACGTCATCAGCGTGATGTAATGAGCGTCATCATACGCCATCAGCGTGATGCCGGAGTGCCGTGTGCAAAAGGTTCACTTCGGACTTCATCTGTGCTCTTTGTGTGCTTCATGCGATGGACTGTGAGGCAACCGCGTCTACATCTACGGCCTCGACATCGGCAGCAGCGTCTACATCCACGGCTGCTTGCTCAGGCAATTGTGGCCGCCCACGCAATATACTGTAAAATTCTTTATTTTCGCGGGCTTTATTTTTCACGAATCGGTCAGACAAAATCGCAGCCACTAAATTTCGCGAATTCGTGAGTTGCTTTCTATTAATGATCGAAATTTTCGAGTAACGTTAAAATTCGCGAATTTTCGCAGTTCGCGAATTTTGCGAAAATTAAGGGCTCGCGAACATTAAGGGTTTTACAGTAGCCCCCTTAATTGTCCCCCTCTAGGCGTTGTCCTCGATGTCGTCCTCTAGGCGTCATTTTCGTCGTCGTCCTAGAGGTCGTCCTTGATGTCGTTCTAGATCTCGTCCTAGACGCCATACTTGACGTCGATCTCTAGGACGTCGTCCTCGACGTCGTCCTATACGTCATCCTAAACCTTAATACGTGTAGAAACATTATTCGAAAACATTTCTCCCGCGGCACTATAATGCCTTTCGCCTTCCTACACGTAAGCAGTCTTAAGTGCACTCCTGTAATTTTTTGTGTGTTGTGTTGGTTGGAGACGACCTCGGTTTCAAGGATGTAATGAGAGGTTTAGTGAATAAACCTATTAGGCTGAGTTTGAAACGTCGTCTGGCTGACTTCTTTCCCTGTGTCTTCTACCTTTATTTGTTTCAAGGCTTTTTTCACACCCAGTTTCTTGTGTTTTAACATAATGGTAAACTAACACCAGCTCGCCTGCACCCTCACCGCATCTGTGTAACATGTAGTTATCATAGCAGCAGTCCCCCAAGAAACGGTGGCGCGTCGAATGACGGGAGGCGGACCGTTAGGGACAGGGGGGTGCTGCTCGAGTAAGCAGCCTCCTTTAACAGTTTCGTAACTAAGTTCATCTAATAACGTTTGTATAATCCTGATGTTGCCATTATATTGTCTTCGTGATTTTCTTTTTTCTAGGATAGAAAGTGCCAAAGGGAGCGGCGCAGGCAACCTGGTCGATAATCGGGCCGCGGCGGTTCAGCACAGTCCCGTCCACTCCCAGCATCCCAGGGGCTCGAACGAACCAGGGACTTCTGCTTCGCCGTCCGGTGACCATGAGGCCAAGGAAAGCAAGATTCTCCCGCCACCTACTCCACCTGGGAGGGCTAACCACGGCATCACTGTTAAAAATCCAAAATCCCACAAATCCATGAACAGGGACATCAAAGAGAAGTCCGGTGCCGTCAAACAGGAAGCAGACGACGTGAATTCTCGGGACGTGAAGGCAGGCGGCAAGGGATCCCTCGATCCTCCACTCCGAATCGCTTCGTACGAGAGCATGAGGAACGGTTGGAACGCCGCCGATGATTCGGCGGGAATAGCATTAAGTATGCAAGGTTTGGGCCGCACGCAAATCATCTTGAATATGAATCTGGAAACTGGGGATCTGTGCGACAAAAACCTGAGGGAAAGCTTGCTTCGGCTCTTACAGGCGGAACACGATTTCGTGGTTCAGCAACAAAAGAGCGAAGCATTGCGAATTGAGCTTTTAAGCAAGGAACTTTATTCCAACATGACCGACAACAAAATCTAGCGTGCGTGCAGCCTTCGGTGATTTTAGTGGTACCTATACCCGTTTTCACCTCAAGAACCACAGTAAAAAAAGTCCGGCGCCACGCGGACCACTACTAATTTCCCCCTTCATGGGGATAATTAAAGGGAAGATGGGGCACTTCTACATTTGAGAAAAAACGCTTGAATTGCGTTCATTTGGCCTTTAGAATAACAGATATCAAAATTATATTTCAATGCGACGCGCCGGAGAGTTACAAGAGCAATTTCAAAATATGACTGAAGCCCCGCCCCCCTAGCCTTGGGCAGCCAAAAGAGCCGTCGATGACGTCATGGACAGCGACTGTCTTTCGCGTTTTTCTCGCGTTTAACAATACTTACGCAGCAAATGATTTGGGTATTCGGGTTCACGGGGTAAAAATACACTAGAATTCACTTCTAACTCATTTTTTCCGAGAAGCTCCGTAGCTTCCCTCTAAGAGATATGTAGGTGAATGTTAGATTATATATATGTTATCTTATCCAGACGTTCACGTTTCAAACGCCAAAAGCATTGCTTTTCCCTGCAATAACCAAATCTCGTAAGAACTATTTCGCACTGCGTATGAACAATGCGCAAAACTTGCTTTTTTCTTGAGGTGAAAACGGGTATAGCAGGTTTGGAGTGTCCCCTTTACAGGTGCTTTTTTGTAGAGCCCTTGAAAATGGAAAAGTAACACTTTCTGCTCTCTCCTAGCATCTGCCAGTGGTTGCGCGGTACCACTTTTGAGCCAAGGCGCCGGTCGAGGGCCAGAATCAAGGGGGGGGGGGGGGGAGGGAGGGAGGGAGGAAGAGGGAGAGGAGGCATCGCCCTCTGAGCTTTATGAAAAAAAAAAAAAAGAAACGACGACATAATACCAGCTTTCTGAGGAAGAAATGTTAAGTTTTTGCGGAATAGCCATCACTAGATGAACGAAAGCGATCTGGGCGACGCTTCACCCGTGACCACAGATTCCTCACCCCCCCCCCTTTTTCCCAAACCTTACCTATAAATGCGCCTCTGCACCGGTCAATGACAATGCAAAATGCACACACCCGACGCCGTGATCGGCTGGCGCGCTTCCCTCTCTTTCTGCCAGCATCCCTTTCCTGGCTGCATGATGCCATTTTTGAGCGAAGGCGCTGGAGAGGAAAAACACCTCTTCAGCTATGAGTCGCGTTATGTTTATGTACTATACGGGCGCTTAGGTGGCGCAGATTCTTAGAAAGGAAAATAAAATAAAAGAACACGAATTGGCTTTTTGGCTTATTTCGAAGTCTTTGCTTACGTCCGCCCGAAAGCACAATCTGTCGCACCGTTACAGGCAGCACCGACCGGATTAATAATCAGTTTTTTGCAGGTTTATTTTTTTTATATCGTAAGTGTGTTGTTTTACGAGGCTGCTTGTGTGTGAGGAGAGCCAATAACGTACCATCATTAAACAATTTTCTTTTTTTTATGGCTACAGATTACTACATTGTATTCATAGAACATTACTTTTTTATACAACGGATCCCCAAAAAGCAATAAAAATTGTTTTTTTCGTGTAATGTGCCATATCTATAGATTTTTTTTTGTGCATGGCATAGTGATGTGACAGGGGAGGGGAGGGGGCTGCCGCCTAGTTAGGCATTTTCATTGCTTTTTGTTACTGCTCAGTGCTCCCAGATAACTACATTTGTTTGTGTTTGTTGTCTGAATAAATGATGATATGAAAGCGCTAAAACGACCTATAAATGTTGTGCCTTTAAAAGAAGTAATCTTGCGGTGTACATTTCTTTCTGCTGAAAAGTATACTATAAGATTACTTCAGGCTAAAAGTAATAGACTTTTCGGAAAATCCCAGGGGACCTCGCGGTTTCCTGGGATTTTAATCGTGGTGCATGAAATTGGGGGTTTGTTTCCATCTGCACGATCGAGGCGACTTGGACACTTCCTGCATCCTGAAAACATTTTTATAATAATAATTGGGAGTTAAAAACAGTATATGAAATAATAAAGAAGGAAACAAAGTCGATTTTTACAGCACAGCTGTATATGACTCGTCGGTCGGGTTTTTTTCGTGTCCGTCGACAGAACAGTAGTCGACAGAAAACCATCACGCGCTGCTTATCACCATTTGCGCGCGCCTTATCTCTTGTCATGTGGTTTTGACACTTGTTTCGATAAGAAAACCACAATACGTTTCAAAATTACGTGATACATGATAAGCACGTAGCGCTAAGCGCATGCGTTTTTCGGTGAAAATTGCGGTTGCATAAGCTGCCGCGGCAACGGAAGAATACGAAGTGTGGAGTGACGTCACTAGCTCTGCTAAGAATGCGAAGCACGTCGCGCTCCGCGCATGCGTTTCTCTTTGAAGATTATGGTTGCATAGGCTGCCGCGGCAACGGCAGTGTAAGAAGTTTTTCATATATGAAAAACTTTTAGTACGGTGCATTTACTTTTCTTTCGTGAAAGATTTGGTATAGACGCTTTTGCTGTTTACAAACATTAACTGCCGCTTGCGTCCCAAGCGAATTCCGGTCGCACTGTCTCTGCAGGCCTGTTAGGCTTGCTGATGTCACCAGTGCTAGAGACCATAAATGCTACATGGACAATAAAGTTGTAGATATAGTACATTCACGGTCATACGAGGCTCAAGAGGCTTGGGTGTGGTTTCGATTCTACTTATAGCTGGGATGAGCACAGTCGGTCTCCCGGCTAGAGAGGCTATTCCCACCCCCGCCGGCCGTTGTGAGTTCACGAGCGCCCGGCCATCCCGAGCGACCATCCTTGGTGTGGAGAACCTCAAGCCGACTCTGACGCGATTCCGATCGGGCCAGAATCTGGAGTGCCGACGTTTGGGTTGAAGGGAATCGCATTATGAACCAACTCAAAGGCACTTGCTTCGGGTAGCTTACGACTGAGAACAGTCTAAGCTGGCCGCCCGGGGATCAGTGCAAAGGCAGACGCGCCAATAGTCTCATGACCGAGAATGTTATGAGCTGGCCGCCCGGGTGTCGGTACAAAAGCAGACACGCAGGGAGTCTCAAGACCGCGAACGGCGTGAGCTGGGCGCCAGGGTTTCGATGCGAAAACAGACACACCGGGAGTCTCATGACGGAGTGTGTTGTGAGCTGGCCGCCCGAGTGTCGATGCAAAACCCCGCTTCAAGAACCCGCAGACCTGTAGGGTTGTGAAACCTGTGCGTCGCGCAGGAACTTTGTGAGTGTATGGGTCCCCGCATAGTGCCTGCAGGTCTGTGGGTCCCTATGGGTCCCCACGTAGTTTGTGTGTGTGTAGGATCCTATGGGTCCCCGCATGGTCTGTGTGGGTCCCTATAGGTCTCCGCATAGCCTGTGGGACCCGGAGTCCCACAGGACTGTGGAGACCATGTAGGTGACCCACACGGTTTCATAATCCTACGATCTGTGGGCGATCTGTGTGGGGCGTGCGGGAAATGGATGCCCGACTACCATATCTGATTGAACCATTGCCACAAACCGGCCGGTCTCGTTTTTATTTTTTCCTTTTGTGGACGCCTGTTTCGTCGTCTAAGATCATTGATCTTCTCGCCTAAGATCTTGTCGACCCTGGTGGTGGCCTGAGCTGCTATCGCTTCTGTGGAGCGCTTGTCCATTAAGTTTTTTGATTCGGCACTCTGAAAAACATGTAATGGCGAGATATTCAAAGGAAGAGAAAGGCTTAAACATTCTATGTAAACTCGTTTAAGCCTGATCTCTACCCGAAAGCCCGCTTGGTCACAGCTGGCCAAACTATAAACTGCTATAAACTGCAACTGAGGAGCAATTTTGGATTCATTGCTGATTATAAGCTTTTGTCATTAGCTAAAGAACGCAACTATTGAAACTAGCATTAATGAGCAGGCGAGCTGGTGAGTGATCACGGTTACAGTTACCGCGAGACAAGGGGAAACAGAAAAAATGAAAGCCGTTTACAACTCCCTGTAACGCCGAATTAAAGCGCAGCTCTTGAGGAGGAGGAGGAGGGAGTGGTACTGGGGGTAGGTCTAGTGACCTCGGGTGGCGGGGGGTCACGTGACCTTGGGGGTGTCGCGTGACCTTGTGGGAGCCACGTGACCTTGGGGTGTCGCGTGACGTCGGGAGGGGGGGGGTCACGTGACCTGGGGGGCCACGCGACGATGACGTGATCAGTGACGTCGCTGATGATGTCATCAGTGATGATGGGGATGCCGGTGACGTCATCAGTGACGTCACTGATGACGTCATCGCTGATGATGACGATGCCGGTGACGTCATCAGTGGCGATGACGTCAACGAGGGGTCACGTGACCTCGGGGGGGATCCGCAGGTCACGTGACCCCCGGGGGGTCACGTGACCTGGATAACCATCGTGACCCTCGTGAGGGTAATCCTAGTAACCCTTGTGAGGGCAACTCTCGTGACCCTCGTGAGGGTAACTCTCGTGACCCTCGTGAGGGTAACTCTCGTGACCCTCGTGAGGGTAACTCATAACCCTCGTGACTGTCGTGAGGGTCACCCTTTTGAGGGTAACTAACCCTCGTAACCCTTGTGAGGGTTATGAGGGTTAGTAACCCTCGTAGCCCTTGTGAAAGTAACCTTTGTGAGAGTAACCCTCACGAGGGTACGAGGGTTACTCGTGGTTACGCCGACGGCGACGCCGACGCCGCTCAAGCCGGGAGCGGGCGCCTAAGAGCTCGCTCTAAAAGGACAACTACAACGAAGTCTCGAAACACAGCTGCAGCTGTGTTTTGTGATCGGTGGCCGAATGGGCTAGCGCACAGCATCTCGGAGCATGTGAGCCGAAAGCTGGCGCTGCAGAACCCACAAATCCTGGGTTCAATCCCCACCCCTGCCCGTTTCGATCTGGATGAGTATCGTACCGCCATGCGGTCGTGCATCACTACTGCGTCATGCACGTTAAAGACTCCAGAGTAGCAGTTGTGCCGCACTGGCTAAATTTCTCATCTACAGCTGGAAGACAAGTTACCTGTTGAGGCAGGCTAAATTCTAGGTTGTATAAACATACTTTTTTTATAGTCTGTTTTTCCCCTCATCTTGGGGTTACTTTAACCAGAACTATTGACCTGGTCGTGGCATTGTATGTCCACGACCAGGCAGGCCTATTGCTGACATGATTGTGTATCGCAAATAGAAGCTGCTTTATGGAGAGCGGCAAATCGCGAGCACCGGCATTGGTGGTCCAGAGTGGCAGCTAGGATGTCAAAGAGGGCAAACGAAAGGCAGGGAAAGAAAGCAGATGCAAGTTGAGACGTGTTCGTTTTGCCATAACGAGCACTGCATTTGTATAACGACTTGTCAGCTTCGTTTTTTTTAATACAATATGTCTTTTGCCGGTGGTTTTCGCAATAATTAAGCAGAAGTGTGTGAGACAATGACGTTGCAAGTGATATATATCACCGGCTTTTTCTGTTTATGAAGCTACCACCCGCAATTTTAGCTCACCGGGAACACTAATGTCGGCTTCTGTGCCCTGCCGTCCCCAAGCGGCCGAAATGCACGGGAAGACGCTGGACGTTTTTTTCATATACAGTCAAACCCGTTTATAACGAACAGCAGGAAACGCTACAATCAGCTTGGGAGAAGAGCGTGTTGGTTTAAGTCATGGATAAAGAAAGAATAAAAATTATGTGGTTGTGTTGTCCCTGTTTTAATTGTTTTATTCTTCATCCATGGCTACAATCAGTTCGATGTAGCTAGTAATTCGATATAGCAGAGCACATTTACAACGAACTTCCAAGATGCGTTCGTTGCAAGGCGAGAGCTTCTTCTTTGTCACCTCTTCGCTTCCGCCTTGAACAACGCGCTGTAAAGGTGTTTTTTTTTTTTTTTTTTTCGCGGGCCTGCAGGCTTTTTTAAATTTTTTTCAGCTTATTTCTCCTGAATCGCTTCGCTTCGTGGGAAACCGTTTTGGGATGAAAAGCTTCTTTTTTCTGTGCGTGCGTAGGGAGTGTATTTTTTAGCTTTATCCCCTTCTGAATCGCTTCTCTTCGCTCAATTATGTTCGCAACTTGAGCTTTTAAAATTTTCTTTCTTACTTTTCTTTTTGGGGGGGGGGGGGGGGGGGGCTGGCTAGAAGACGATTGTTTGCGCGTTTTCGGAAACTTTCCCGGGGGAAAAAGTTCGATATAGCCAATATGTTGTTCGTTATAAAAATAACTTTTTACATGCATTTATATTTATATTTACTGCGAGTTAGATATCGACAATAATTCGCTGTAGGTGGGTTCGTTCTAAACAGGTTTCACTGTAGGTTATATTATGATCTATTCCAGAGCAAGCCATAAAACAAAAAAAAAGCCAATGTTGATGCTGAGCTCTGCAAAGAGTAACTCGGACTCATTAGCAACGTTAAAAATTATACGAGTCACTGGCACAAAACGGTAAGTACACGTTAAGCTATGGTACTGAACTATTCACCACTGTGACATGTAGGAAAGAGCTTCTGTAATTTCTACAAATCAATCACGTCACTGCAATACAATCTAACTGCTCAGACAAGGCATTAATTAGAAAAAAAAATTACAGGATTACTGTTAGAATAAAATT